GCTGAAGACTTACTTGCTGTACCCAAGGGAGAAGAATAGTCTGTGAGATTGGGGAGCAGTTCTGGAGTATACATGGCATATATTCTTCACCAGCTCTGAGCGTATGGTTTCTCCCATGGGCAGGGAACACGGGTCTGAGAGTTAAGGAGTGGAATGGGAGCAATGTTTCTCACCAATTCACCCCATAAGCTACTCAACAGCTCTGCTTCTCAAGTTTTGGCCTTGCTAGTTGAAATCTAGTAAAGATGATCTGAGCTAGATTAAGTAGCCTTGGTGTCCAGGGGAGAAGTGCTTCAGTGCGGGTCATATCAGTGATTTCACTGAGTGGGAAGTTCTTGATTTGCTCTCTCCACCCTCCCTGTCTTAATGACGTGTCACTTTACTTACCTCATTCTAACTACGCTGCCTTCCTATTTACTTTTTAATAACAAATACCAGCCGGGCTTGGTGGCTCAGCCTGTAATCCCGTGCCTTGGGAGGATGAGGTGAGTGGATTGCCTGAGCCCGCGGATTCGGGACTCACCTGGGCAACTTGGCGAGGCCTCATCTCTACAATAAATCAAAAAAATAGCCAGGTGTGGTAGCACTTGCCTGTAGTTTCAGCTACCTTGAAGGCTGAGCAGAAGGATCGCCGGAGCCCAGCAGGTCGAGGCTGCGGTGGCTCGGAGCAGCCACTGCACTCCAGTCTGGGTGACTGAGTGAGACTCCAACTCAACAACAAAACAACAACAAAAACTGAAATACCAAACACTCTACTTCAGGGCCTTTGCACTGGTTGGACCTCTTCTTGGAATGCTCTGCTTCTAAACATCTGTGAGCAAATGCCTCATTCCTGGAGGTCTTTCTCAGATGCTCCCTTTCAAAAAAGAGCTCTCGTGAACACCCGACTTGAGGTTGACCTGTTGTTGCCTTTTTTCTTACTCTCTATCCCCCAGTTCTTTTTTGTAGCATCTATTATCTTCTAACTTACTATATAATTTATGGGTTATTATTAATATGTTTATTATTTATTTTCTGTCTCACCCAGGGAGGCTGGGACCTCTGTTTTGTTTACTATTGTCACCCGACCACTGAGAACAGTCTCTGACGTTTAACAGGCCCTCAATAAATGTTTGTTGAATGATTAAATGAATCATTGAGGTTGATCCTTGAATTATTGCTAGTTCTAAGAATTCTGAGTTTATTTGGAAAAGTCTTCTCTGAAAATTTTGGGGAAAGCAGGCCCTGAGATTTGGATTAATCCCAGAAATATCCTGGATGTAAATGAAAGAAATTCTGCTCCTGGGGAAGTCGTGGAATCTTAAAATCATGGGAGAGTTTAAAGTTCTACTCTGTCAACCTGCATCTCCTTTCTTAGTGTGAAAGGTTTAATGAGTATCTTATCAGTTTTCTGTTGTCCAGTAATTTCGGATTAGGAAGTTTATGCTTCCAGAAGTTTACCAAGCAGGCATGAGCTTAATTCCATGAAGTATACAGAACTATTTCCTGTGAAGCTTCCTGCAGCAGTAATTAGAAAGCTCCTTCTGTATACCTGAATTAATGTTCCAGGTTCCTGGTATCACTGTGGCTTGGTTAGAAATTTATATCAGCCTGTGGATTGCCATTCGAGCTGATAAGATTGGTGAATGCTTATGGAGTAAAAGAAGACATATGAAAGGTGTAAAATTATTCCTTTAACCATAAAAGATGATAGTTAATAATCCATTTCTTCCCCTCAAGGAGACAGAAAGTAATTAAAGTGTCAAGACAGTCAGACTAAGTTTTGCATTTTTAGTAACTTCCTGTTACAACACCTTATCATTGTATCTTGAGAACGGAGCTGCTAAGTACCAGCCTGGTGTGACAGCGCATGTGCGTCCCTGGAGTTCCTGTGTGTCTGCAGGCCGGACACCCCTGTGCTCACTCACACAAGTGCTACATGTTCTTGGAATGCCCGCTCTGTGCCGGGTATGATGACAGTACTCACAGGAAATTAAAATCAGTCTTATTATATTGTGATAAGTATCTTTCTTGAGGAATGGCAGATTATGAGATGTTCATTTTAACTCCATAAAGTGGAGGGAGTGATCTTGGTATTTTCATTCTTCCCTCTGCCCTAGTCTCTCTCTCTCTCTCTCTCTCTTCCTTTCTCCAAGAGACAACTTATGGGGGTGGGGATGCTTAAAAAGGGTGGTTTCAAGTGTCTGTAGTTCTAGGCACTGTATTAGTCACCTAAGATATGTTATCCAATTTAGTCCTCAAACTGACTTCAAGAGCGGGCTCTTATCCCCATTTAAGAAAAAGAGACTCAGGCAAACAAATGGTCCAAGGCCACACAAGGAGTAAGAGCTCGGTGTATGGGAGGGGAGTCTGTCCAGCCTTGCCTTATCTGGTCAATTCCTGTGATGTCTGCCTTCTCACTGGGAGTCAGAGAGACAGGTTCATTTCAGTCCTGAGTTGACTACTTTCATGTTTTATCCTAAACCCATGTACAAAGGTACATAGGCAATTGTCCGTGCTTATTTAGATGTGGCCTACTGGGGTCAGAGCCACTGAGCTAATCTGGTTAAATAGGTTTGACCTCAGGAATTTAAGTGTCCAAAATTTTACTTGAATGGTGCTTCCAGGCTTCTTTGTCTGTTTGTTGTTGTTGTTTTGGTCATTGTAATATTTAGTGAAGGGAATATGACCTGATGTTTAAATAACTGAATTTTTTAGCTTTCAAATCTTAGATTAAGAGCAGAAATACTGCAATCAATTCTTAGGCCGAGAATAGCAAATATTGTTAATTTGTGAAGAGATTTTTTTCTTTTTTTTTTGGCTACAACTCGGCTTTTTTTTTTTCCCCCAACAAAGAAGGCATCCTTTTCCAGAAGGTGGCACCCTAAGAACACTATTTAGGTTTCTGAATCTAGGCGTCATAGAAAGTGCACTACTCTAGCCTTCATTGGATGCCTTGCACACTTAAATTATGGCCTGAGTCTTTGTCACGTTGTGTGTGTGTTTGTGTGTGTGTGTGTGTATGAGTGTGTGTTTAATGTTTTTTTTTTAACATTAATTTCTTAGGAAGTGTAACAAAATACCTTTTAAAAATTGTGTACCTCCTAGGATAAGTTGATCTAATCATATTACATGATTCATATATTCCTGTTTATTAAGAAAACAAGTGTTAATGATAATTATTTTGCTCCTTGATTAAATTGCTGTTTTTCCAAATTATATTGTTATAATTCAAAACAAAGCAGATAATTCTATCTTTCCTTTCAGACACATCCAGAGTATATTAACAAAAACATATTTTAGAGGTTCCTACAGTAGAATAAAATTTCTATATGAAAAAAAATGTACTGCTGACATTTTTGACCAACCTCTCAGTCATGGCTGAATGCCGAAAATAAGTTTCTACTTATTAATATCTAGTTTTTAACAATATTCTCTTGATTTAATTTCATATAAATTTTCTAAAATGTTCTGTTTATACTAATAAATGTCTAATGTGTTTTAATGAAGTTTGTTATTTGGTGATTGAAATCTCTGTTGTGTTTTAGCACCTCTTTGTTACACTTTTGAGCATATTTAGTGAAGAATTAGGCTGGGCGTAGTGGCTCACTCCTGTAATCCCAGGGCTTTAGGAGAATGAGATGGGAGGATTGCTGGAGACCAGGAGTTTGAGACCAGCCTGGGAAACATAGCAAGACCTCATCTCTACAAAAAATTTTTTAAAAATTAGCCAGTTGTGGTGACCCCTGACTGTAGTCCCAGCTACTCAGGAGGTTGAGGCTGCAGTGAGCTCTGATTGTCTCACTACACTCCAGCCTGGGTGACAGAGTGACAACTTGTTTCTAAAACAAACAAATGAAGAACTTGTTTTACTTTGTCAATAGTGTCAACAGTTAGAAATTTTAAGAGCAAGTATAAGATCCAGGTGGCATCAACCACATGTTCAAGAGAAAAGAAAGTAAAAAGAATTTTGCCTGAGCCCGTGGGTTCGAGACCCACCTGGGCAGGCGAGACCTCATCTCTACAATAAAAAAAAAATTAGCCAGGCGTGGTAGCGCGTGCCTGTAATTCCGGCTACTTGGAAGGCTGAGGCAGAAGGATCACCGGAGCCCAGCAGGTCGAGGCTGCGGTGGCCGGGAGCAGCCACTGCACTCCAGTCTGGGCGACAGAGTGAGACTCCAACTCAAAAAAAAAAAAAAAAAAGAATTTTATTTAAACTATATCCAGATTATATTTAATATGCATTTCTAAAGATTTTCATAAACCCATTAATTATTATGTGACTATTTTGAGAAATCAACAAATTCTATTTGCTTTTCTAAAAACAGGGATTCTTTAGATTGATCTTTAGTTATAATTCTTATTTTGAATCCCACAGTATGAAAGGAAGCTCTTTTAAAAATATTTGATTGTCTTTACAAAATTTTAAAGCAAACACCTGACAGCGAGCGACACTTTGAAGTGATGGAATGTTTAGAATCCCATGACTTATGAGTGGAACGGTCCTAGTCTCTAGAGCCTTCAGGAAGAACACACCTTGAACTTTAAGCCCTCAGCAAGTGTTAGAAAGTACTTCCAAGGGTTGCTGTCTGCAGTGTAAGCTCTTCATAGAAAACTCCTTATTTCCCCCACTATCCATACACTTATATTGTTCTCTATAGTTATAAATCAAGGATTGTGTTATTTTATTATTATTGATGACAATAACATTCATAATGATTCTCTCTCTCTCTCTCTCTCTCTCTCTCTCTCTCATTTTCTGACTCTTACACTTTTCAACTTAGAATGAGAAATTGCAAACACATGGCTGAGGACCAAGTTAGCATGACTTTTATATAGTTAAAGAGGCTAGGTAGACCTAGAATATGCAAGACTACTTTTAAGACATAAATACTACCCTTAAAATTTGCATAACCCTTGTTCGATTAAAAACGCATACTCTCAAATACAAAATGAATATAAATAAAGTTACTCTCTAATATGTTTAAGTTGGATGTTTTTTCTTTTCTTTTTCTTTTTAGAATAAGCATGTTCTGACAGTTGTAGCTATTGAGAGAATGTTGGAAAGGCTGAAAAAATCTAATGAACTTTTGGAACTCATTCTTAAAGGACTTAATGAATATTTGGAAAAGAAACGCCTCTTCTTTCCCAGATTCTTTTTCTTGTCGAATGATGAACTTCTTGAGATACTGTCTGAGACTAAAGATCCTACTAGGTATGTAATTTACATGAATAATACATGGATAATTTTATCTGCTTAAACATAATTTTTACAACAAGGTAGTACATATATATATATATATAATCATGCTTATATAATAGTTTTTCTTTAATAATATTCTAAATATGATCAATAATCAACTTTGGCTAATTGTTAAAAACATAGGTGGCCAAGCATGGTGGCTTATGCCTATAATCCCAGCACTTTGGGAGGGCAAGTTCAGGAGGATGGCTTGAGACCAAGAGTTCAAGACCAGCCTTGGCAATGAGTGAGACCCTGTCTCTACAAAAAATTTTTTTAAATATCTGAGTATGGTGGCATGGGCCTTTAGTCCCAGCTACTTGGGAGGCTGATGAAAGAGGATCACCTGTGCCCAGGGGGTTGAGGTTGTGATGAGCTGTGATTGCGCCACTGCACTCCAGCCTGGGTGACAGAGTGAGACCCTGTGTCTGAAAACACAACAAAACAAAAAGAAACCAAGCCATAGGTCCTATCACTGAATGCACCATGGAATGGATTTCTTGTTCATCTCATGTCCCGTATTGCATGTGTAATGAGAGTCAGGGCTCTCATGATGGCTTGCTGTGACCACAGGCATTGCCACCATCGTTCCTGCAAGTCTCTCTAGTCCTGCTCGCTCTCCTCACAGCTCGGTAGCCTTGCTACCCTCCCCTACCAAGAGGCAGCCTCCTCTGGTGCACTGTTCTTTCCTCTTAGGATATTCCTCACCCAAGTGTCCACGAGGCTTCTTCCTTCACTCCTGGGGGTCTGTGTCAGACACCAGGCAGGAGGGAGGACTTCCCTGCCCGTGTGTTGGAAGGGGTGGTCCCTCAGTGCTCACTGGCTGCCTTGCTGGACTGAGCTTCCCTACCCACCTTCCCTCTGCAGACTTGGCATCATCTGGCATGCTTGGACTTACCTGTGTGTCTGCTGCTTGTCTTCATCCAGCAGAATGTAAGCTCCACAGTGGAAGAGATTTTTGACTGTTTTCTTCCCCCTGCAGATTCTCCAATCCTTAGAAGAGCATCTGGTGTATAGCAGGCAGGGAATAGATATTTGTTAAACAAATGTGTTAATTTTGTATCATGTGTCTTCCAAGTAGAGATAAACAAGCTAGATAAAAAGATAAATGTGCCAGGCTCAGATTTCTGTCTGATATTTTGTGCTCTGTTCCTTTCTGCCCATTTAGAGGTGTTGGTAATGTACCAACAAGAGAAGTCTTGTCAGTGCCGTCTACCTCACACAGGGTAGACTAGTAGTTGGGACTGTTGAGGCAGCTGGTGGAGTGACCTGTCACGTTCTCACAGCATTAAACCTGGTCCACGTTTTGTAAATGCCTCTGAGAATCCCAGTTGAAATGGCTGCTTTTGTGCATTTGAAGGTTCTTCAAATTAGTGTATTATCTGTCAGTGGAGATTGGTTTCTCCTTATTTTACTTTCAGCATCTTTTCATTCATTGTGTTGAAGATAAAGCCTCATGGATGTCCTGTAACTCTTATTATAATTGAGATTTACAGATCTTTTTGTGACTGTTCAGTTAATACTGACTTCTCACTGGACTGCGTAATCTATTAGGTAGAGATTGTATCTTGTTTTTGTTGTTGTTGTTGCTTTTGGGATTTTGTTTTTTGTTCAGCATTTCACCCCGGGCAGAACTTACCGGCCTAACCTTAGTACACATTTATGAATTTTAAATGAAGATTGGCACACAAGAACACTGGCATTGAAGGAACTGCTTTAATCTTATTAATTCTCTTCCAATTTTTTCTTCTGACAGGGTGCAACCTCACTTGAAGAAGTGTTTTGAAGGAATTGCAAAGGTAGAATTTACGGACACTCTGGACATTACTCACATGAAGAGCAGTGAAGGAGAGGTCGTGGAGCTCATAGAGACCATTTCCACAGCCAAAGCCAGAGGGCAGGTGGAGAAGTGGCTGGTTGAGTTAGAGAGAGTCATGATTAGCTCCATCCACAAGGTAATGGCACACTTACTATTATTTTTAGAAAATAATGATAGAAGCTGGGCACAGTGATTCAACACCTGTATTCCCAGCACTTTGAGAGGCCAAGGTGGGAGGATTGCTTGAGTCCAGGAGTTTGAAACCAGCCTTGAAAACATAGTGAGACCTAGTCTCTACAAAAAAGTTTTTTTAATTAGCTGGACATGGTGGTATATTCCTGTAGTGCCAGCTACTTGGGAGGCTGAAGCAGGAAGATTGCTTAAGCTGAGGAGGTCAAGGCTGTCATGAGCCATGATTGCACCACTACATACCAGCCTGGGCAACAGAGTGAGACCCTGACTCAAAAAAAAAAAAAAAAAGAAAAAAAGAAAAGAAAAAGATGATGGAGTATGCATGTTGTCATAAATGTATTATTGACAAAGCACTGCTACATAGACAGAAATGGAGGCATGAAGTAGGAATTAAAATGTAAAGATAACTCGAAGGCAAAGAGATGATCATCTATGAGGATAGTAATTTTGCAGGGACTCGCTTGAAAAGTAGGTCAAAATACCTTCCATGCTGCAGAAAGCTTGGGTGTCAGCAGTGCATTTACCCTGTTTCCTGTGGCCACATGCTATTCCCTCCTTGTTAATTAGACACACTCTGGTCTACACCTGTCCTCAGTCTTGCCTTGGAAGCACCTCTCTACAGGTTCACATCAATCTCCTTGAGGTGCAGGAATCTTTTTGTTCTCTGTGTATATAAAATGCATACCAAAAATGCTAGAAAATCATATATACTTCCTACAATTAATAGCAACTTCATGTCTTTAACATCTCGCGAAACATACTGTCAGCTCAATCATTTGTAATTATTTTTTATTAGTATTGAAGTTCAAGTCATACTAACAAATTTAGATTGAACACTCCAGCTTATTTCCTTACTGTTATGTGGCTTTGCATTCAAGTTCTCCATCAAGAATACAAATCATGTAGGAGAGGAGCATGAGAGGAGCACAACTAATTCATTTTACATTAATTTCAGATTCTCTCATTGGGATCTTCATGTTTCTTTCTCCTCTCTTATGGACTATATGGACTATATTACAATATATGTACTAATGCTTATAGCTGTTTCTTTGATTGACTTATTTCTTTTCTTATGATAACTTCTCCTGTGTAGGACCAATGGGCCAAAAAGGCTTGTTTTCATAGGACTTGATAAGTATTGACAAGCAGCATTACCATTTATGTGGCTGTTAGCAGTGTAAATAAATTCCACTTTGATTACTATTAGCAGCATGAAATTGGTTATATGATTTGGTAATTGATGTAGTATACAGTGTTAAGTCATTATTTTAGGCATATCTGATCCTGTTTCAACTATTCTTTTAATTTTGTTTATCAAAGTTCTTAGAGAAAATACTTTGGATGCTATCTCAGAGTGTTAAGATGTGGTAGCAAGAAATTACGTTGGAAATAAATATATTCTCAAAGTGTTCATGTGTAAGTTTGTGTTGGTATTATACAATATGAGAGCAAATGCAATATAAAATCCTATAAATCCTACAAACAGGAGAGATGTGTGTTACTATGTTGTGCAATATGCATTTGCATGCTTGAAAGGCTATTTTTATGACTTTACATACAATATTGTGGGACTTTATGTATTCACATTCCTCCTCATCTAACTATGTAGAAATCCCTTTCTGTGATTTAGATTTTAGTGTCTTACTCTTGTTCTCTCCCAGAGCATCCTTCTAGAATACATATTTACTCCATCTTCTTAGCATTTCTCTGCAGTACATTTCTATTCTTTTCTTTGTTTCTCCTATCCCTCAGTTGTCCATTTTCACTTGCCTTTTCTGTGGCATCTTCTGACTTTTAAAAATGTCTTTATTATCAATAGTCAACATTCTGTCCTTTATCTTTGTTCATTTCTATAAAATCCCAGTGAGACTAGAAATTCTGGAAGAGTTCACCATCTAATTTTGACAATCTTTTCTGAAACATGAACATTAAAGTGCATACCACCTCATAGATGACATTGCTATTTGTGATTGATGCATTTAATAGACTAGAAACTTCCCATGGGAGGCTGGTAGAAAAAGTAGACATATCAGTTCACCAAACATACATAGCAAAGTACACAAACGAGACTTTCTGTCATCACTGCACTGACTCCACATGAATGAATGATGCATCTGCTTCTGTCATTGCTGCCTTTGGCATCAAGCTACAGGACTGAGAGGGACACGATCTGGAAACACCAGAGGACTTCATGAGAGTGTGTGACTTGCCCAAGTGTACATATACATACACGCACATGACTGAGTAGAGATCTGAGTAAATGAAAAAAAAATCATTATCAATGTATTTGTTGGGACTCATTATGGAATTATTTGAATTTGAGTCTTGCAATAAGATTGCTCCAGATGTAGCTAGGATATCTATAACTACAACTGTTCAAATGAATATTTGATATAATGTGGTTCACATAAATGGAGAAAATATCAGCAAAAGGAAATGTGTAACATATTTGTTTTGCTCACAGGTATATGAATAAACTTGAATGTAAATAGCTCTAATCACATGCTGTGAGTCTTGCATAATTGACAAGAATGTTGTCAAATGTTCTTGTCAGCAGGAGTCCATCTAGGTTAGGAGTTTAGCTCTTCATTATCAGCCTGTTGAAGAAACATCATATGTAGCGCTTGTTTCTTTTTCAATTAGGTCATTGGAGATGCAATTCTTGCCTATACAAAATATGAACGAATTAACTGGGTGAGGGATTGGCCGGGACAGACTGTTCTCTGTGTATCCCAAATCTTTTGGACAAAAGAAGTACAAACAGCTATTCCACAGGGGCTGAAGGTAAGCTTTTTTTTTTTTTTTTGAGTTGGAGTCTCACCCTGTTGCCCAGACTGGAGTGCAGTGGCCACTCCCGGCCACCGCAGCCTCGACCTGCTGGGCTCCGGTGATCCTTCTGCCTCAGCCTTCTGAGTAGCTGGAATCACAGGTGCGCGCTACCACGCCCGGCTAATTTTTTGATTTATTGTAGAGATGAGGTCTCGCCTGCCCAGGAGGGTCTCGAACCCGTGGGCTCAGGCAATCCACTCACCTCAGCCTCCCAAAGGCGCGGGATTACAGGCTGAGCCACCGAGCCCGACTGAGGTAAGCTTTTATTACCCCAGGTTATTCAGCAGTTTTTCAAGTTACCATTGACAAATATAATTAATAAAAAATAAAATAAGGACAATTCACTCAAAAATCTACTTTATGCTGCAAGCCAAATTACAGATTTTTTTAATTGCACAAAACAAATATGTAGGAAAAACTTATAGTACAAATAACTTCAAAATTTGTGTTTTAAACCATCTGTTTATTCACAGTATATAAAAGTATGTAAAAGTCAAGTCTTGTTGTCATTTACATATTTTGTACCTTTAAAAAAATAAGTGATAATAGGACTAAGAAGCACAGAAAGATTGGGAAGAAATAAAGTAATATAATTCTTTCATGCCTTGAGTAAAACTACTCTAGTTAGATAAGCTATCAGTTGACATGTTGTGAACTAGGTTTTTTGTTTTTTATTTGTTTTTTGTTTTTTGTTTTTGATTCAGGGTCTCATTCTGTCACCCAGCCTGGACTGCAGTGGTACATTCAAAGCTCACTGCAGCCTCCACCACCTGGGCTCAGGCAACCTGCCTTGGCCTCCTGAGTATCTGGGATATAAGTGCATGCCACCATGCCCAGTCACCTTTTGATTTTTTGTAGAGATGAAGTCTCACCATGTTGCCCAGACTGGTCTCAGTCTCCTGGGCTCAAGCATTTCTCCTGCTTCTGGCTTCCGAAGTGCTGGTATTACAGGTGTGACCTGCCATGCCCAGCAATTGTGACTAGTTTTGTTTTCATGTATTGATTTTATATACATAATATAATTATTAATATTTTGAATGATGTTTAGTATTCATCATTTAAAAATTCTGATATAATTGGCTATATAAACTTAATATTGTTAATTGAATTGCAGTTATTAAAAAACCAAAATGACATTAATGCTATTTTTGAGATAGCCTTCCAAGTGAGTCAACTTTCAGTTGACTGGTGGATCAGCTGAAACCTAGTAATTGTAGCTCTTTCATGTAAAATCATGATTTTTACAAATATTTTTGAGATGCAATTTGATTTGACTTTAACACTAAGGCCTTGTTGGACAGGGGTTTGAGAGGATGCATGTTCTCTGTAGACAGGCAGATTCCAAAGAAGAGGGACTGAGAGATACATGCTTAATTCACTCCAGTTTATAGCAGATCACCTTTCCCTCTTTGGGATGGAAGGGTATAGGGCAGGGAGTCAGGGGTTTTCAGGAAAAGGTCTTTGTTCCTGAAACCAGAGCCCTCGGACATAAGGGTTTCCTTTGTAACACTAAACCTCTGAGGTTACTACTGGACTCTTGGATGTCTCTCCCATATGCATTTTTCTTTTTTCCTCAGTGGGTCCAGAGAATTCATTTTGTCATTTCACTTTCAAATGACCACTCACAAACCTCCCTACACAGAGGATTTTCCTGTCACCTGCAGTCTCCCTCCTTACTGGCTTATGTGGCTAAACATGGGTGGGGCAGAAGTTTATTTTTCACTACTCAAAAAGCAAATTAATCATGTAAATAACATAAATAAAGTAGTGTTTAAGCACAAAAGCTTTGAATAAAAAGCTTTCTTAATAATTATAACAACAAAAGATAATATATTTCAAGAAACAATAAAAGTGCCTTTTTAAGAAACCACTTGCAGTCCCTGACTTGACTTTTAATCTTGTTCTCATTCCTGGAAAACCTCACTTGTAGTTTCATTGCTGTTACTTTGCAGTGGCTGCCATAGAGTGAAATGAACTACTCATGTGTATGTGTTTGGAGAGAGCAGCCAAATCCGTGTACAGGAGCACATCAACCTTTCCCTGAAGCACAGTATTCTCATGAGTTGTGTGGACTCTCTGTCTTAATTTACTCTTTAGATTTATCTACCAGAAAAACTCCAGAGCAAGTCTGGTCCTCAGAACTAGCATTAGCTCATTGTAACTAAAATGTTCAATGTTTTGTTTATTGGAATCTTTACATGGCTAGTGGCACAAATCCCATTCAGGAAGTTAAGGCAAGAGTGCTAGAAGGAACTCAGGATGGAGGAAGAGCCATGGGAGTCAAGTCTCAGGACAGCAGTGATGGCTGCTGTGGTCTCTCTCGTTGACTTGTCTCTATGAGGACCTGGCAGGTTTGACTCTGTAGACAGGAAGAAAGCCTTGCTGTAGCTTCAACTTGGCTTAGTCACAGCTCCTCAAGCTCAGTGACGCGTACTTTTCCCTCCATCTGTATAGCAGTCTCTGGGAAGAGCTGTGATTGGCTCTGGCTGGGTCACATCCCCTCCTTCATGTTGCCATGGAGATTGGGCATTATGACTGACAGCTGCAACAAAACCCCAGAGAATAGAGAAGTATGAATAGAGATGAGAAAAGAATGGGTGATGGGTAGGCACAAACCCTGTATCCCTTGTTCACCTCACACCTTTGTAATGAGATAAGGTGATTATCTTAAAATTATGTGACATAGAAAACTACTCTCGAAACTCAGAGAATACTCTGCATACGTGCTAGTTCAAAATGCTTTTATTCAGAATGATTCTGATTACATTGAGGAATCATATTTTGTTTTCTTTCAGTTTATTGAACAATACTTGGAAAAATGTAACAGACAGATTGATGATATTGTCACTTTGGTGCGTGGCAAGTTGTCCAAGCAGAATCGCGTTACTCTGGGAGCACTGGTGGTCCTGGATGTCCATGCTCGGGATGTCCTTGCTGCACTGGTGAAGAAGAAAGTCAGCGATGACACCGACTTCGAATGGTTAAGTCAACTGAGGTACTATTGGCAGGTAAATGATATCACTGAGTGTTATTATGCAGCAATTTCACTCATAGCTTTTTAATGTTGGCGTGCTTGCTTATATAGGAAATTGTAGCAGTAATACAGGATCTTTTGCTGCTTGCTGGCTCTGCTCAGATAAGCATGTCTCCGGATTGAAGATTGAGCTGCTAGTAAATAACTATATAGCATATGTATTGATATCCATAACCTTATCTATATATAAATGCATAGTCATGTAAAAATACATATACATATGTATATTTATAATAAGAATTATGAGCAATTATCAAAAATTACTCATTTAAAATGAGTCATTAGGCTTGCTGAATCTATAAAATGTTGGGACTAGTCAGTTGAAAATCGTGTTTTTAGATTCCTGATGCATCTAAAGAATGTATGAGTCAAACTCTTTTAGTCTGACTTAGTCACTAGAGTTTCTTCTTTTTGATCAGCTTAAGGAGCCAAAAACATAATCTAGAGGGAAAGTCTTTGTCAGGGAGTCCAGTAGATGGTGAAGGTGGTCATGATGGGGAGGTGGGAGGCTCAGGGATGGATAGGACAGGGGATGATGGCAGAGCCTGGAAGTATGGCAGAGACCACTGAGGATGGGAGGAGATCTGGACTTAGAAGTTTTCACTATTGAGGATTTTGTGGATGTCTTAGGGGTGTGGGCAGGAGAAGAGGAGCAGCAGGAGACAGCATCCTGGGAGATGATTTGAAGGGCAATGAATTTGAGGTTGGGAGCTCCAACAGTGGTACTGACATTCCAGAGGTCAGATCTTCCAGAGGTCAGATCTTCCAGAGGCCAGATCCTCCCCCACCAGGTGTAACCTGGGGCATTACTTCTCTTTGAGCATCAGTTTCCTCCCCTGTTAAATGGTGATAATGACAATGTCTACTCTATAGTGAAAACAAAATGATGAAACGCATGGGAGAGACAAGGGACAGTACTAAAATATCCTTTGGGAAAAATGTCCTGAAGCCAAGGAGTTCAATTATTTATCCATGGAAACTAGATATTGAATTACCCTGTGAATCAAATGCCGTCTGAAAAGTGAATTTCAAAGATGTTGTCTATATTCTGGTTATCAAAGAGTTTATTTCATATTATTTAAAATTGTGTTGTTTAAAGCAACTTTCTTTGATTAATCCTAGGAAAATCATTTGGAGACAAAGATGATCAATGCAGGCTTGCGATATGGATATGAGTATCTGGGTAATTCCCCCAGGCTGGTTATCACCCCCCTCACGGACAGATGTTACAGGTAAGTTCCTAACTTCAGGGTTATGGAAATGACTTTTACTCACCCCTCAACCACCGTTTTCTTTACAAATCGCTCCTAAAAAGCTTCTTCCTTACTGGCAGTGCATCCTAACTTATTTGTCCCTAGACCCTAACTTTCCTTTCAGGATTATCGTCATTCTGTCTCTCTCTCTCTCTCTGCTGGCCTGTCACACTCAGCTCTGGGTACTACCAAGTCACCTCTGTTCCTGACTCCGTCCATCCCTTTCTTCCTGAAACTCTGACTTCCTTCTTAATCACAAGAGCACCCTTGTTCCTTCCTTTGAAACACTGCATTTTCCGGAGTTCTGTTTCCCAGTGGTGAGCATCTCCTGCCTCCTGGTTTCCTGAATGTCATCCCTTCCCGTGCTCTAGTGGTCTACATCCTGCAGACCCCATATCTCGCCTCCAGCCAAGATGTATTCTGGAAGCTTTTGCTGTATGCATGCCTATGGGTGTCTCCATTCGATATCTTGTAGTTACATAGACATTTCTCCTGAAGGCAGGTTTACTGTTTTCCCTCCTAAATTAACTCAGCCTCCCCATTTCCATCTCACAACATGGCTGTGACTATCCACCAACCTAGTCATCTCTGCACATGCCTGTCTTTGTCCTTGACTCTTTCTTAGTTCTTCCCGTCTCATCACATACTAAGCCCTTTTGGTTTAATGGAATAATTTACTTATTTATTTAACTTTCTATTCTCTTCCTTTTTTAAAAGGAAAATTTTTTAAAGAGCAATTTTAGATTTACAGAAAAATTATGCAGAAAGTACAGGGAATTCTCAGTCCTTCCCCTCCCCCCCCCCAGTTTCCCCTATTATGAACATCTTGCATTCATTTGGTACATTTGTTACAATTAGTAAATCGATATGAATGCATTCTTGTTAACTAAAACCCACAGTTTGCATGAGGATCCTCTGTGTTGTGTAGTTTTATGGTTTTTGATGAGTGTGTCATGTCATCCATTCTAGGATCATACAGAATAGTTGCTGCCCTAAAAATGCCCTGAGTTCCACCTGTTCACACCCTCCTCCCCTCCCCCAAACCTGTGGCAACCACTGAACTTTTGTGTGCAGAATATATTATATTTTATGCATGAATTCTAGAGTGTCATATAGTACTTGGAATCATACAAGCTGTCCTCTTTCATTGAACAATACGCATTTAAGGTTTCTCCATGTCTTTTTGTAGCTTGATAACACATTTCTTTTGATTACTGAAGAACTGTGCTGTATGGATGTGCCACAGTTTATTCATTCACCTATCGATGGCTATCTTGGTAGCTCCCAAGTTTTGCCAATTATGAAGAAAGCTGCTACAAATGTTCTTATGCAGGTTTCTGGGTAGACATATGTTTTCAACTCATTTGGGTAAATACATGGGAATATGATGGCAGGATCTTGCGGGCAGCCTCTGTTTAGCTGTGTGTGCAACTCCAGGTAATCTTCCAAAGTGGCTGTACTTTGGAAGGACCTTTGCCCTCCCACTGACAGTGAATGAGAGGGTCTGTTGCTCCAGATCACACCAGCGTTTGGGTCAGTGGTCTGGTTTCAGCCATTCCTATAGATGTGTAATGGTATCTCATTTGCTTTATTTTGCAATTCCCTAATGACACTGATGTTGAACATCTTTGTATATGCTTATTTCCATGTGAATATCCTCTCTGGTGAGGTTTATTCAGATCTTTTCCCCATTTTTGATTGGGTTGTTTATTTTTCTTTTGTTGAGCTTTAAGTTCTTTGTATATTTTGGATACAAGTTCTTAATCTGATATATATTTTTACAAATATTTTCTCCCAGTCTGTAGCTTGTATTTTCATTCTTTTAATAGTGTCTTTTACAGAGAAGTTTTTTAATCTATATAAAGTTCAATTTCTAAATTTTTCATTCATGGATCATGCTTTTTGATATTATAACTAAGAAGTCATCATCAAACCCAGAGTCACCTAGATTTTCTCCCATTTTATCTTCTAGAAGTTGTATAGTTCTGGGTTTCACATTTAAGTCTGTGATCCACTTTGAATTAGCTTTGTGTCTATATTCACCTATTTACATATGAGTGTCCAGTTGTTTCAGCACCATTTGTTGAAAAGACTGTCCCTTCTTCATAGAGCAGCCTTTTCTTCTTTATCAAGGATGTGACTTTATTTTAGAAATGGTTTCTTAGCTGTCTATCAGGGATTGGAGTTGGTGTTTTTCATCCCTATGAAACACCCAAGGAGCTGAAGTGATGAAATATAAAGACCTACTTATAAATGACTGAGCAAGAACACCCTCTTCAGTTTGAAGCTCTTGTGTACCACCTGGATTGAAGAGGGTCACCCAGCCTGAAGACAACGAATTATTTCCCTCTCCTTAAGTTGAGCATCCTTCCCATGGGGTGAAGGTCTAGGCCCAAAAGAAAGAATAGTGGGGCCAACTCACTTGGTCACAGGTGGGAACGAAGACCCACACAGTGACCCACCAACTACTTGAACAAGTCCTATTCATACTGGGATTCAACCTCCTGAGTGAGAGCCAGGTGGAGAGAGAAATTAGAAGTTTTGGTGTTAAGTCCCTTCATGTGGCCAATGTAGCAAATGCAAGAGTAATGGTAGAAAGATTCTGTCCAATTCTGATTCTTCTTGTTGGTTTTGATAGTACCACCCTGCTAGCTACTTAAATATCTTCCTAATTTGTTAATTTCAATGATAACATATGAGGACCAGTATGACCTGTCTGTTGAACTTGATACTCCAGTAACATCAAACACAATCTTCTACTTCTTTACTGTGTGCCTTTGCACACACAGTTTCATCTTCAGGTGAGTTCTCCCTCCCTCTGTTCTGCAGAAACATGACCAACTCCTGCTTAGTCCTTCAGGGCTTCTCCTTTAACAGGCAGCCTCTTCTGACGTTTCTAACTACATTCAGAGCCTTGGTGATTCTCACATGCCTGGGTTCTTCTGCTGTCTTGGCACTTGTCATCATGAGTTGAAAATGTGTTTAATATCTTTTATATTCTCTTCTGTAGTCTTTTCATGGACAAAGAATGTGCCCTCTGTTTTCTTCTATTCCCAGCACTAACTTGTTTTCTGACATAAAATAGGCATTTGATAAAATGCATATTGAATGCCCATTAACTTAAAAACAGTTTTATATTGTTTCCTTCAGGCTAATTAGAACTGTAAATGTTTTAAAATGAGATTTTTTTTTTTTAGATAGATGATGGTGCTTACTGTCAGGGTCATCCTTTTGGGCTGGGTAGGAGTATAATTCATGGTACATCAAATGAGTCAGGGCAAGTGGCTCAGGATTAAACCTGGGGACAATGCCACAGTGCTGGAATCTGTGTTGATATGGTACCAGTTGCAAGGCCCAGGGACTGGCCCAGTCACTTGAAGAGTCAACACAGGATCTGACACTGAGCCCAATTAAAGCTGCCATAGATTTTAGCATTTAGAAACCTGCTTACTTTCAGCATTTGTGTGTGTACCCAACATGTAGCTGTGAAAAAAAATAATTCTTAAATTTTAGTTTTTGTTTTTTGTAGAGACATGGTCTTACTATGTTGCCCAGGCTGGTCTTGAACACCTGGCCTCAAGCAATATTCCTGCCTCGATCTCCCAAAACTCTGGGATAGTAAGCATGAGCTACCCATGGTGCTTGGCCTATAAATTTCATTAATTCATTCAAGAAGCATTATTGATTAGCAACTATATACCACATATTCTATATACCACATACTCTAGTAGCACTCGATAGAGAAAATATAGAGTCTGTGTATTCAAATACTTCTCAGTCAGATGGAAAGGTGGATCAGAAAACAATTACAATACAATACTGAGTGAAATATTGTGGTAAACATTAAGTGCAGTGAGTGTATGTAGCCCAGAGAGGAGTGGAAATCTGTGGGGGAAGGAATTCCCTGAGAAGTGATTTGTTCCTAGAAGGTCTGTGGAGATCTTATATTCAGAGATCTAATATTGAAGGATAAGGGTATTTAGCCAAATGAAAATAAAGAGGCTCTATATTCCTTGACCAGTGAGTTTGGTATATTTACATTTAATGTGGTTAGTAAACTACTTGGATTTTTAAAAATCATTTTATTTTGTGTCTTATATTCTTTAAGTTTTAAATTTTATTTTGTTTTCCTTCTGTACTATCTTTTATTGAGTGAATTGTCTTTATTTGTTTAATTCATCTGATATGGATATTATATGGGCTGGGATATGGGGTTCTATTTCTATTCTCTTAAAGGCTATCTTATTCTCAAAAAGTGCCTGCTAACAAGACAAGGCTGCCCACTCTCACCCCTCCTGTTTAGCCTAGTGTTGGAAGTCCTAGCTAAAGCAATCAGACAAAAGAAGGAAATCAGGAGTATCCAACTAGGAAAATAGAAATTTAAGCTATCCTTCTTTGCAGATAATATGATCCTATACCTCAGAAACCCAAGGGAATCTGTCAAAAATCTCCTTGCACTGATAAAGGACTTTGGCAAAGTCTCAGGGCACAACATCAATGTACAAAAGATAGTTACATTTTTGTATACAAACAACAAACAGGCAGAGAACCAAATAAAAATAAAATGCAATAAATAAAAAGCACAATCCCATTCACAATAGTCACAGAAAGAAAGAAGGAAATGAATAAATGAATGAATGAATGAATAAATAAATAAATAAGTTACCTTGGCACCTCCTAACCAGAGAAGTGAAAGACCTTTACAATGAAAACTACAAAATACTGCTCAAAGAAATCAAAGAAGACAAAAATAAATGGAAAAATATTTCATGCTTAAGGATTGGAAGAATCAATATTGTTAAGATGTCCATCCTACTTAAGGCAATCTATAGATTCAACACGATACCCATTGAATTACCATCATCATCACTCTCAGACTTGGAAGCAACAATACAGAAATTCTTATGGAAATATAAATGACCACGAATAGCCAAAAAAATCCCCAGCAAAAGAAACAAAGCTAGAGGTATCACACTTCT